TTCACCCCAGCGCCGATGAGCCTTGATGAGCCCTGAGAGTGGGACAGCCCTTGGGACAACCGGAAGGGCACTATAGTAGTCAGGACTCTTGTTTGCTAATAACAGAAACTCAACTCAAACTGGGTTAAAGCAAGGAAGGAAATTTATGGACTCACATCACTAAAAAGTCTAGGGGTAGTAAGTTTCAGGCGGCCCCATCCAGGGTCTTAACTTATATCATCAGAACCACTTCTCTCTCCCTCAGTCTCCTCTCAGCTCTGCTTTTATCTGTTTTGGCCTCACAGGTAGGTGGGCTTCCTCTACATGGTGGCCCTCAAATTCTCTAAGCTTATACCCTGCTGGTTTAAGCTCAGAAGAAAGAGAATTTTTTTTTCCCAATTATTCCAACAAAAGTCCCATGAATGCATTTCACTGCATCAAATTGGATCACGTGTCACCCCGGAATCAATTACTGTGGCTAGGTGATTGGAGTTCACTGATTAGCTAAGCCCGAGTCTCATGTTTCCTTCTTTCCCTCCAGAGCCAGGATGTGGTGTCAGCGTCACATACCCAGTAGGACTCAGGGTAGGGGAGGGGTAGTTTCTCAAAAGAAACCTGAGATACCATTACCAATAAAGGACAGTCAGGCAAAAGCACCAGACCTTCAGAGGTCATGCAGGCCATCCCACACCTGCCTCTGCTGCTATGCAAGTGGAAATACATCCCAGAGAAGATTCGCGTCTTGTCAACGTCACACGGTGGCAAAGCTAGTTAGAATGGGTTAGAATTAGATTTGGCTACATATAGCAGAAAACCCTAAATATAGTGGCACAAATGAAAAATTTCTTACCTTCTCATATAAAAGAACTCTGGAGGTGAGGAGTCTATACCAACCCTGGATGCCCACCATGGCAGTTCACTTCTGGTCACGTCTTATTGGCTTGAACGTAGTCTGGTCGCTCTTAGCTGCAAGAGAGGTTAAGAACGTTAGTGTTTCAGTCTGGTGAACTGCTGTAGAAATAACCCAGTATTTGTTCTTAAGAATAAGGGGAGGATGAAAACTGTGGAAATGACCGGTGCTCTTTCTCTATACTAAACTCCAAGATGAAGAGGAGGAGATGGCATTATCTTCGGAGGAATCGGGCATTTGTTTACCTACGCCAGCCTTTCTTTTCTTGGTGTTTATTTATTCACAGAGAGAAAAAGAAGTCTTGGCTCCAAACCAGGATATATGAGTGGGACCCCTGCTTTCAATTCCCAAGCAGAATGATTGGGACCGTCGTGTTGGCTTTCATCTGCCTGTACCTCGTAAGTACCTCTAAGAAAATCCTTTTACATTTTATAAACGGGGTGGGGACTGGTGTTATGAAGTCTTTGAGGCAAGCAGAATGTTCCTAAAAAGCTGGATCAAAATTGAATCTTGGTAGATTGAAGAAGTATAATGATTTGACCCCACCATTTTGATTCTATGGACACTTTTTCCCACAT